ATAACCGAATACTCACTTCTTGCTCATGTAAAGCTCAACAGGTGGTGGGATGGGTTGAGGGGATCTTCTCCACGCAATCTCGCAAGGACTCTGGCTGACAGAAACTTCATCTTCAAAAGATGTCTTGCAAGGGAGCCCAGGATGTCAACATCCTGCTGGAAAACAAGGGAAGAAATGTGGAAGATGGCTTAGAACATTTTGTGGGGAGGTGATCATGTAATCATTTTACCCATATTCCATTGGCTAGCATTTGCCTAATTGCAAGGAGGCTGGCAAACTAAGTTAGGTATCAGCCATGTACCTGAGGGAAAGAAGAAACAGACGAAGTGAGCACTCAGCTAATATCTAGTACAGTACATCTTTCTGGTTACCAAGTATCCTACTATAAGTAGAGCATACTTCTTTACTCGCCAAGTGAGAAAACCCCAAATTCCATCCAGTTATTGTAACCAGCTTCAAGTCCAAACTCTGAGTGATAACATGGTTTTTTCCATCAGTTCTGGATATAGTTCCTTGATATTCAGTGATACTTGCACAAACAACACAAGTCATAGAAGTCTTCCTACTGCCACCTGGCCCAACATATTATAGTCAAGCAGGGATAAAATTTGTAATAAACTGTACCTAGTAAAGAAACATGTGGAAGGCACTGGTCTATAATAGTTATGATAAGCTTCCGGCAGGAATTTTGAGGTCCTTTTAACCTGGCAGTAAGAATATATCCTTGATTTCAACTTTGCTACCTGGGAGGAACTACTTATTCAATGTTCTTCATAGCTCTGGATCTACTCTTTAGCAGCTGTTTTGTCCATTAGCACATTTGAAATATAAATAATGGAGAATGACCCTCCTCAGAGACTTTTAAACTTTTGCAATCCATATTCCCCCTGAGCAAGTTTAGGAGCCCCCAAATACTTCTAATGACAGAACATCCAAAAGCTGCTAAAGAAAAGGCTTGTGATTTTTTTTTTTGCATTATAAATAAGCAGATGTTTGCTTTTGAGAGAAAGGTATCTCTTCAGCTACATATGCTAATAGCATCTCCCAAAGTTATTTCCTAAATATAATTCTCAAGGTTGACTTATTTTTTTGTCCTTTGCTCCTTATCTTAAAGAAATCTTGTTTAGGAGGAAATACCACAATTTTACTCAGATCTGTGCTGGAGCCAGAAGTCATAATGTGCATAATCTCTTATCACTTAGGACTAGAAGAAATGGTTTTTCCATCCTTTTTTGTTTTTTTTATACTTGCAAGGTAAAAAATTCTTGTCATATCCCATCTCTTCTTTTATTATCTTGATAAATGCAGGTAGTAAGAGTCAACACTCACTACCAACATTATATTTTCTAGCCTTTCCCTAGAGCTATGGGTCCAAGGACATGTGGTTCACAATCCAAGTATTTGCAAGTGAACTTTTTAAAACCTCTTTCATCACTGCATTACACAAATCTCATTTTATAATATTGGATATTAGTTTTCATCTTGATTGACTGCTGGACCAATGAATGCCATGTACTATGGATTTATTTTTACAGTATCATCCTCTTTCCATCACCAATTTCTGAATCAGAGTAATAACACCTCTAAAAAAAAATCCCTAATTTTCATTGGTTTAACATGATAGGTGTTTGTTATGATAACTTAAATCCAATTGGTTCAAGTGAAGGAATATGTAGATGACAATGATTCTCATGGTTATTTAGGTTCCCAGGCTGATGGTTACTCCTACATCTTAAGAAGATGGCTTGCTGGAAATTGACATCCAGCCAAGGGACACAAGAAGAGTGGATGATAGAGAGGATTTTATGAGCTAGACTTGGAAGTAGTTAACAGCATTTTCACCCACATTCCACTAAAAAATTCTTAGTCACAGAACCCCAATCTAACTTCAAGTGATGCTGAGAAATATAGATTGGTTGTGTATTAATTGAATTAAGTTTGCCAGTCTGTCAGAGTATATAGGGCAAGTTCCAAATAGATTAAAGGGTAGATATAACATAAACGTATAAAAAGTAGTAGAGGAAAAAAGAGAAGAACTATGTCAGGAACTTTAGAGAGTATGGGGGCTCCATGGGCCTACACTGGGCATTCAGGAGACAGATGGGGGACAGAGCAGAGATAAAGTTTTCATTGATGGTACACACCTGAAAGGAGACGTTAGTGCTGCAGGAGACACAAGTACCTACGAGGGCTCTTGTTCCCTACTGAAAAAAAGCCTGTCACTCTAGATCACTGTAAGGTCATCAAACACTGTCAAGTGGGCACATTTAAATTCTCATTGTGGCTTGGAAAAGGGTAAATGGAAACAAACAACTCACAAAAATCCAAAAACTATATCGCTGGGAAAGGTAAGGAAGCTATCCTGTCCTATGTGACAGATCTCCTAACTTGGGGAGGGGCAAGAAAGTCTTCCAAAGGAGATGTGCACCAAAGGTACAATGAAGAGTTCAGCTGCCACAAAGAACAGCAACAACATCACTGGATCCACCCATAGTCTCTTAAGTATGAAAATATACTTAGAGACTTAGAAACATCTTAGAAAAGAAGTTGAACATCAAGAACTCAAAGAACTCTCTCCATGAGTTCTTTTTTGAGGAATCTACAAGAGAATAAACCTCATTCAAGCAAAAAAATGACTGGGAAGACTTAAGCAATTCAGCTTTAATAGATACTTCATTGAAAATCTAAGATGGAAACTAAGGTGCAGACAAAGGAGAGAACAATGTTAGGTAACCTGCTCTTTATGTGTTCTATGTTCCAATAAAGTAAAAATAAAATAATGGAACTAAAAAATGGGAGGAGAATAAACTCAATGAAACGAGAGACGTAGAATGAACTCATTCAATGTAAAAAAGAATGAAAAAAAAAAAAAGGCTTAGGTGAAGGCTGCTTGGGTGGCTCAGTTGGCTGAGCATCCAACTCTTGGTTTCAGCTCAGGTCATGATCTCATGGGTTGTGGGATGTTGCCCAGCCTTGGGCTCCATGCTGTGGAGACTCTGCTTTAAGATTCTCTCCCTCTGCCCCTTCCCCCACTTGTGTGCTCTCTCTCTAATAAATAAAAAAACTTTTAAAAAATGTAATTTAGGTGAATGAGAATGTCATTAAAAAGTAAAAAAAATCAAGGACAATGGGCATCAAATATGGTAAAACCATTAGAACAGAAATATTAACTTTCCTACACACCAAATTTAAACTTTTTTTTTTTTTACAAAGACAGCATGGCAAATACAGTTTGAAGAGAAACAGTAAATATAATAAATGCAATAATTACAGCATAGATAATCCAACAGAATTGAAAGCAAACATATTCACTTTATCAACAAATGTGCAAGGGTCGAATCTGTCAGTTAAATGGAAAGATTTTCAATTTGGCTCATAAAGTTCTAACCATATACTCTATTCAAGAAACATACCTAAAACAGACTGATTCAGAAAGGCTAAAAATAAAGGGATGGTCAAATGTATCCCACGCAAATAGGAACACTAAAAAAGCAAGGATAGCAACACTGATGTCAGATCAAGTAGAAAGCAAACAATAGTAGGGAAAGATTTTCTAACTATGATTTCAAATTCATATGCAAAAATGAAATACAAAGGAAAAAACCAGAAGCATCTGACTATATATGGTAAGTGACAGAAAAACAGTGTGATAAAAGTTAATAAAACAAAATCAAGACAACTGACAAATTGGGAAAAAATATTTGTAACACACGTAACAGTTAAAGGTATAGTATATGCAATGTATAAGTAAACCTTAAAAATTATGGGGAAAAAGTAAAAAAACAAAAACAAAAACAAAAAACCACAATTCACCTGTGGAAAAATGGGCAAGACATGAAAAAATTCACAAAAATCCATATGAAAAAGGCACTTAAGAATTTTTAAAAAGTATTACACAATGCCCCTAATAAGAAAAGTGGATAGTAAAACTACCCCGAGGTAACATTTTTCACCTATCCAGTGTACAGAATTCAAAATATAGAACACCTTACTGTATTGGAAAGGTTGTGGGAAAACAGGACTCAGGTTGCTGGTGTTTAGCACAAGTTTCATGGTGGAAAATTTGGCATGTTTCAAGCAAAATTACATATGCACTTACCTTTTGGCTTAACATTCTTACTCTGGGAACTTATCCCCAAGGATATAACTTCAATAATATGATAACACATACTGTTGTTCATAGTTTCTTTGCAATATTTTTTGTAATTGTAAGATATGGAAAGTAATTTGTATGTCTAGACACAGGTGAATGGCTGAATAAATTGGCGGGTCTACCTAATGGGGTACTAGAAAGTTTTTTGTTGTTTGTTTTAAATGAGGAAAATCTTTATGGACAACTGTGCAGTGATTTCTGGGATATAGTTTTAAATGAAAAAGTGTTTTTTTTTTTTTTTTTTGTTTTTTTTTTTTTGAGAAACAGAGAGAGAGAGAACACAGTGAGGGTGAGGTGCTGAATGAGAGGGGGAAAGAGAATCTTAAGCAGGCTCCAAGCTCAGTGTGCAGCCTGATGCAGGGCTCCATTCCCATGATCCTGAGATCATGACCTGAGGTGAAATCAAAAGTCAGATGTTCAACCAATGGAGCCATCCATGTGCCTTGAAAAAAAAGTAAAGTTTATAAATATCATCTAAGAATGTTAATTTTTGCAGTAAGTGTGGGATATAAATATATATACATTTATCCATCTGTGCAAACAGAGACACAGAAAGCATATGCCAGGGACTAATGGGATGGATTATCTACAGGGGATGGGTGGGAATGAGATAAAAAAAAAGAAATAATTGAAAGCAGGATTTGCTGCCTCTCAAAGTATATCATTTTGTCCAGCTCTGCCTTATGGAATAATGTTCACATTTCACACACATAAAGAAAAAGATGTAAATAAAATTACCAAGGATGGAAGAAAAATGCTTTACATAACATATCAGAAATGTGAATTAAAGTGAATTTCAAATGAAGTACTACATGAAAGGAAGGCAGGGAAAATGTACTAACCCAAGGTCACTTTTTATTACTCTAAAAATTGATATATAATTCACATACCATAATATTCACCCTTTTAAAGTACATAATTTAGTGGATTTTTGTTTGTTCACCAACATTACCATCCAATTCCAGAACACATTCATCAATCCAAAAAAGAATGCCATCCATATCATTAGCAGTCACTCTTCCTCCCTTCCCTCATACTTAGCAATCACTGATTTACTAATCGGTCTCTATGGATTTACCTATTCTGGAGATTTCATATAAGTGAAATCATATTTTGTATTTGGCTTCTTTATTAACCTAATCTTTTCTAAGTTCGTTCTTGTCATACTACATATCAATACTTCATTCCTTTTTTGGCTGAATAATATTCCATTGCATGTATATATCATTATTGCTTGTCCAGTCACCAATTGATAGATATATGGTTTGTTTGTTATGTTTGGCTATTATGAATAATGCTACTATGAACATTCATGGTCAAGTTTCTTTTGGTATAGGTTTTTAATTCTTTTAGGGTCTACAGCTATTAGTAAAAATGCAGGTCATATGAGACTTTCATTATGCCTATGCTGGTACACTTGATGGTATCTTCCAAGTCTCTGGAGATCTGTTCGTTGTCATTCATGTTTTCTTTTCCCTGTTCCTAAGACTGGATAATCTCAACTGATCTATTTTTAGTTTCACCAAATCTTTCTTCTGACTGCTCCACTCTGCTGTTGACAACTTATGCTGAATTGCTCATATCAGTTATTGTACTTTTCTATTCCTAAATTTATGTCCCTTCTTTATAATTTCTATCTCATTATTGATATTCTCTAAATGGTGAGGCAGTTCTTTTATTCTTTAAACACGGTTTCCTTTCATTCTTTGCATATATTCTCAAAATAGCTTATTTAATGTCTTTGTTGAAAAAATCCAAAGTCTAGACCTCTTTGGGTAGTTTGCTTTTCTCCCCTCTGCATATAGGGCATACTTTATTTCTGTATATGCTTTATAGTGTTTTATTGAAAACTGGTCATTTTAGGTAATATAAGGGTACAAATCTAAAAATCAGATATTCCCATCTCCCTAGGACTTTTCTTGTTTAGTGGACTTTTTTGAACTTGTGAAATCTATATTCTTTGTTGTGTGTGGCCATTAAAGTTTCTGCTTCATTAGTTTAGTGGTATACTAATAACTAGACAGATATTTCCTTAAATGCCTGGAATTAATACTTCTCTACTTTGCTAAGAGATTTTGTGTGTGTCTGTGCTGGGGCACACCTTCAACACTTAGTCAAGAAATTGACAATTCCACCTGAGCCTTCATTTCCTGCTTGAGCAAAACCTCTAGGTCAGCTACAAGTGAGAGCTTAGGGCTTTCTCAGCTCTTTCCTGAACATACACACAGCACTATACATGCACATGACTTGATTGATTTCAAGAAATATATGAGAATTTATCAAAGTCCCTAAAGATACTGAATTCTCCAGATTTCCTTTTAAGCTTTTTGACAAATTTGTTTTCCTCACCTGTTAATCACTGCCTCGTACAAATGTGATGTTAAACAATTACCTCTGATTGTTTTTGAAAAGTGTATCAGGAAAAAGGCTTTCACACTGAGCAAGTTCTTAGTCAAGACAGACTTCCAAGTAGGGTCTTCCAGGGAACTACCACACTGGTCAAATAACAATTCTCAGTGAATGTATTGTTAAAGAAGCTCCAACCCTGTTGTTTCTTCCAGTGGCTGCCAGGCTGCTGGTTTTCACTGTAATTGTGGGCTGTTGGTTTTCAAAACTATCATGGATCTGAGGAGTGAAAGATGCAAATACCAGAAGTTAAAATATCACAAACATTACTGTTCCTATCAAGATTTATCCACTTTTTTCTTGAAAAATATTCCTTGGATTGCAATAAATCTGTGGTTGATTCAGATAATAGTTTTCTTACTTTTTATGGGGAAAATAATTTCTGTGTATCTTTACTCCACCATTTTTGCAGACATCATCCTAGGTCTTAGTTTTGAGACCATATACCCTTAAGCCAAACAAAAAAGAACTCTAAACATATACTGAATTTTGGCTAGTAGACTTGTATTTTTGCAGAGGTATCAGTTAGCAACCGTGAAACTAAGTTCCTCGATTGAGGAAATGAGTATACTGTGGATAATGGGAACCATCTTTCTCACTGGGAGATGGCAAAAAGACACAAGACAGCCTGAGTAGGCTCCCATTAGCCAAATTAAGGACAATTTGAGCATCAAAATAATGGATTCCTACTTCTGTAGTCACGGGAATCAGATTTGCTATTCTACATTAAGTAACTTGAACACTGGATAAAATAAAACATATTTTCAGACAGGTTTTTCAGACAATGGGCAAAAAGAAATACGGCAATAGTGATACCTGAGAGAGTGAAAACCAGTTGAGTGCTTTAGCTCATTGCATGAAGTTTCCAAACTATACTACGTGGGGAAGGAATCCCAGGTAACTCAGTGGCCTTCCTGAAAAGACATAGTTTAGGGTTTACATAAGCTACTGTGACTAGAATTTGTGAGGAAAAATACAAGAGAGTATGAGATGAACAGAAAGAAGTACTCTGGAGATCTTTGGAAGGATCCCCTCAAGTCTATGGCATAAGACTGGGCAATGTGTATGAAGAATATACCAAGGCCAGGGAAAATTTCACTAGAAAGGAGTTTGTGAAGCAACTTACACTGGGCCAGGTATAGTTTGTGTTCTCACCTCACCAGATATAACAAAGTTTTGCTAGTAGAGAAAGTATTAAGCAGGGTGCTTAGAATGTTAATGCCTCTGGAGCCAAATGAGCTGTAGGCCAAGCTTTCTCAATATTAGCACTGCTGACATTTTGGGCTTGATAATTCTTTGTTGTATATAATGCAGAATGTTTAGTAGCATCCCTGGCCTATATCCACTAGATGTGACACAAAATATCTGCAGACAGTGCCAAATGTTCCCTAAGGGTAAAACTGCCCCACATGGTGAATCATTGCAGACAAAAGCTTTAAAACAGCTACTAATATTCTGTATGTTCAAGGAAGTAAGAAAAATCTGAACATGATAAGAAGACATATGGAATGTTACAATAAAAACAACAGCAAAGAGAGAAGGGAAAAAAGAGATGAGGAAGAGGAAGATGAGGAGGAGGGGTAAGAGGATGAGGGCTGAGGATAAAGCAAATGTGGTAAAATGTTATTATTTGGGAAACCAGGGTGAAGGATATTGTATGGTAAACAACGTGGCTTTGCCCAAAGAGAACTGCCTTTGCCTTTAGCTTCTTGGAGGCAATCTATGTAATATCTATAGAAGTACATTTGTTTAGGGCAGCAGCTAGCTACACTAAAATAGACAACCATGTAACCCAGGATGGGGATTTGGGGTCATGTGGTATCAGTCATCTGGAACAATTACTGAGGCAATCAACTGATGACACTTATGTACTGCAGCCACAACAAAGAATCTGCACACCAAAGCTTCAGTGAGCTTCTTAGATGGGCAATACTCTATGCACATTGATGCCAGGATGGTAATACATCCTAGGGACAACCTAGCTTTGTTAGAATCCTCACAGATATGGTTCTATGTATCTCTTCCTTTGACAGTTTCTAATTTGTGCCTTTACCCTGTAATAAAAAATAACTTTCAGTAGGTTTCAGTGTGTGTGTGTGTGTATGTGTGTATAAACAGGCTTCAGTAAGTTCTGGGAGTTTTTCTAGCAAATATTTGAACCTGAGGATGGTTGGGGAACCCCCCTCCCATTAACCCCCCCACAACCTGCAATTGTTGTCAGAGGTAAGTATGGTCTTGTGTGGGCTCTTTCCTCTAACTCTGTAGCTGGACCCTAACTCCTTGTGGTAGGCTAAGAAGTCTTGGCCAGACTTAGTAGTCTGGAGGACAGCTCTCAGCCTTTCAGTATGGCTAAATCTGGGTAGCCTTGGAGACCTATTTCTTTCATTTTTCCTGCAAAATTTTCATAATTAAAATTTCAACTGAAATTAATTTCAATTTTGCATAATTGACATGTCAATATAAAAATTTAAACAAATAGAAAAAAACAAATTTTGCATTCAGCACAGAGAAAACAATTTTTTCTGTACAATCTCTTGAATTCCATTGCTTTAGTTACCTAAATTCTTAAGCTCTTAATAGAGCTTAAAAAAATTATAGAAATGACTCTCCAGAGCTTATCAATTCCTGCTAAGCAGGGGGCTTTCCCTATTAACAGTAACAAGGAATTTAGTTATCTTTATTTAGTTAACCAAGAACCTTTAATTTCTTCCAGAGAAGCAGAAGTGAAACATTTGAAAGGATTTCTAAAATTCCATTTTCCTTTGAAATAACAGTACTCCATAGAGTAGTTTCTTCCTCAGTGAGTCACTTCATCATTACACTTAGTTATCTGGAAATGCTTCTTTAATCATACCTCCTTTAGAGTTTGTCCTTATGAATTCTAATCCATGATTCCACAAAATATGTTTACATTAAAGTTCATGGTCAAGCAACTACATATTATATACATTCTTGATTTAAGCAAATATTTCTATGCAGTGAGATATAAAACAAATTTTTGGTTGTGTTACTACATTTAAACACATATGCTGCCTAAAAAACTGAGATTCAGAAATCAAAAACTGCCCTAGAAACTATTTTAAAACAGTCAAAAAGTAGATCACAAATAATTACAAGTATAATAAAAATATTTGTATAATTTATTATCTTTATACCCATAATAAAAGTTACTATCTTAGTTTTGCTAAGGACAACTTTTAGGAAAGGTGATCTCTTTTAAATAACTACAATTTCCTCATATTTTCCATTATTATTTTAAATATATCTTCTCAAAATTTATTTTCAAGGCAAGACACAGAGCTAAACCTGCAAAATACTCTTCATGAATAAGCACAAATGAAAAAGTCTGAGATAGCTATAATCTTGAAATTCTTTCAGAGGGAATAATGTGAGTATATTATTAAAAATCAATTTAAGTATGTACATGATGTATGGTAGGCTTATATAAACAGAACTTTAATAATGGGCTGGTTCACAGAGGTACTAATCAATCATCAAATGTAATTTTTTTCCCCTGAAACACAGCAATTTTAGATTGCTGTTCTTTTCTCCTCCTGCTTGCTTCCCATGAAGGATGAAGAGGCAGCTGTGATTGCTGTTTTGAACTTTCAAATCCTCTTTGCGCGCTCCTATTAAACAGATTCTTGAGTTGAGGTTCATTTTGCTGAAAACCTAGAAGGAAAAAGCAAAAATAGTGAGGAATAACCAGATACCTAAACAGCATACAACAGAGTGTTCATTTTCTCACATCAGTATTTAAGGAAGGAATTTAGTTTTACTTCAATGGAATACATCACAGTTTAAAATCTAAGTCCAATGGTAAACAGTATGAAATTGAAATATACATATGAACAGGCAATTCTGGGACACGTGCTTTCTAATCTTTTATTTTTTCTAATGTTTTAAACGGATGTTTACTGTATGTCTCCTAATATATGTTGTGCTGTCTCAGTTACATTGGCAGTAAGGAAGGAAAGAAAGTAGACAACATGGAAGGCCAAAACCCATCCCCCAACAAAACAACCCTCCCCCCCAAACCCCAAACCGAAAAGGGCATCTTATATTTTCAAAGGAATATCATTTGTTTGTGATTACTGTATAGGGAGCAGATGTAGCCAGAAAATTCACATGGATTTACTAAGATACTGGATTTAACAATGTTGATGGGAGGGATGTTTTTAAAGGGCTATTAATTGATTCTATTCCCTTATACTACTGAACATAAGATTATTATACAATAAATAAAATTAATCATAAAATAAATTACTGAATTTGCTCAAATATAAGACAAGGTTCTTCTCAAAGCATATAATTATAACACCAGATTAAGAGGTGGCAAGTTGTTTCACAGCCTCTTATAAGATACTTACACTACATTAGTTTGAACAACAAATAGTGTGTGTGGGAGACATAGCAGTCAGAAAACACAAATCAGTGCATGTTTATAGAATCAGGGGGGAAAAAAGGGAGACAAATATATAATACGGATTTTTTTTTTTTTAAAGTACTCCTAGGAAGGTGTAATTTCTCCTCCACGAGTTAGGTATCATTTACTGTCAAAAACCTCCTAAAGATTTTCTTAAGAAGCAAATGTCATAATGTTATACAAACAAATGCACACAGTTTGGGTTCACATTTCTAAAATATTATTGTACAAAGAATTCAAAACATCCCAAATCTTGTACAAATCACATGTGGTCTAAAAATCTGATAGTAATACTAAGAGTGGCTCTAGTAATGAAGAACAGAGAATTTAAATGTTAAATGAAACTTTAATAAAAAATGAGATTTAAATAAGACAGTATTCTAAACTAATATATATTTTATATAACTATGTAAAAAAATTTATATGTGTAAACAAACTGATAAACTGAATAGCATAAATATATAAGCTATGCAAAAAACAGGAAACCTTGCAGCTTGGGTCTCCTCCCAGGGAAACTATGGCAATGTCTGGACTTTACAGTTATCCTGCTGATGAATCTAAGGTCACTGAGGCACACTGCCATTTGTTTGCCAAATCTCATTTTCTTTTCATGTTAGGGGCACATGCATGATGCACTCCCCATCCTGATTATAGTTAAATGAGGCCATGTAACTGAGTCACAGCCAACAGCATATGAACATAAGGCCTAACCATAGAAACCTCATGCTTGATCCTTTAATTCTCTCTCTGCTCCCAGTGAACACAGAGAGGTCCTGGAGGCACAAGAAGGAAAAGGGCTGCCAGCAGCACACAGGTGGTGATGAATGAGAAATGAATCACCACAATTTGGTAGTTACTTGTGATAGCCAGCAGTCTACTACAAATTGTAACCAAAGCGGTACTCAGATGGAGGATACACCCAGTAAAAGAGCATGCATATTTGGCAGTGGCTTCGTAATTCAGTGGTAGCTGATAAGGAAATGGGATACCCAAGGTTAAAAAGTGCATATGCTTCCTAAGCTAATGAAGTGGGTAAAACTGTGGCCACTGAGAACTTGGGAAGCAGGCTACAGGCCTAAGGAGTTTGCAGCACCAGGGTAAGTGGGTGGAACAAATAAAAAAATTAGCACACTGCTGGCTCTTTGGCCACAGACTACAGAAGAGGGAAAGAACTGGCCAGCTCACAGCAGAAACTAAAGGGAACAGAGTGTCCAGATATTTGGGAACTTAGGGTTTAGAAAAGCCTTTGGACTTCAAACGGTAAGACACGAGACAAAGAATTTAGGCAGTAAAAGTCTCTGGAGATTCAGCCCCATAGCAAAGTTAAGAGTCAAGTAGAGCCTTCTCAACCAAATATGAGAAATCTCAATACAGCAGACACTGAATGATGGTGCGGGTGGGAAAAAATTGCCTCAAACTTATAAATAAGGTAAGTGTGACAACTTAGCTCTAGGGGAACACTGTTGCTGTGGTGATTATCTCATGGATGGATTAACTAGAAACCAGGACATCAGAAAGCCTCTGTTTCTTGAGGGATCTGTGTTGTGAAAGAAATCCTATGTCTGGGCTGAAAAACTCTTGAATGTTAGACTTTGAAATGTCTTCAGGATCATGTATTTCTACCAGTCACTTGGGGCAACTCACAAGGAAATTATACTAGATGCCCACTTCATATCTGGCCATGGAACACAGACCTTTCCAGAACACAGAAACCATCAAGTACAATGGATAAGGAAGTTCCTCAAGATCCTTCACAATTTTTGTTTAGGTACCAGACATGTTATGTGCCTCCCAATTTTCCCTTAACTCACTGGGATTTTGTATTGTGGTTACCTTATCCCTGATCTGCCACTAAATATTTGGTATGAACTGGGGACAGGCAGTCTGTCTTTTAGTGACCAGGTCACCAAATTTGGAGCAGTCATTTCCATGAAGCCAGATGGAAAGTAATGCATCACTGGTGGACGATGCTGGGCTTTGAGCTTGGATGTAGGGACTGGGTGGGACTCTGAGCTGGCTTCCTTGGGAAGGGGGATAAAGTGTGCTCTATGTGCGGGAGAGACAGTGAAATGAGCATCTTGTGAGAGTAAGGATAGTCAGCAGCAGACAGTTATGTGTTAAGAAATTCCACTTCCTTCTTCCTCCCAATCACACAATTAGATCGCATTTCTTAGCTCCCTTGTGGTTCGATGGTGTCATATAATTGAATTCTGGCTAATGAAATGTGAGCAGAACTGATTCTTGCCACTTTCAGACCTGGCGCATGAAAATGTCCTGCAAAATTTCTCCATGTACTCTTCCCTTCTGGAGGAATACCTGGAAAACTGCAGGCGGAAGGAGTGAAAAGATGAAAGGAGCCTGACTCTTGAATTAATATATATAACACAGCCCCTCTGCCAATTCAAAGTGGACTGTGATGTGAGTGAAAATAGATTTTTATTATTTTAAGCCAGTGAGAGTTTAGAATTATGTACAGGAGTCAGCCTAAACAAATACATGTAACTTGACTTGCTATAAATTAATGTGAAAATACTCTGATTTTACTCTGAACCTAGTAACATACTTGTTACTGAACATTTAATGGCATGATGCTAAGATATAACTTACATGACAATTTAAAGAATGTATTAACTTATTTAGTTCAAGATAAATCAAATAGACCCAATATTTCCTGACAAGTTTCATTTATATATCTTTCAAACTGGTAGCAGATAGGTAAAAACAATTAAAATTGAAAAAATTACACTGGTAATTAAAAGATATTCTTGTTCCCCTTCCTGTAGGTACGTAATTTATTCAGGCTATTAAGCAACTGGAACTTTTCATCCTTCTACTCTGGCAAAGCATTAGTCAATTTCATATCATGGTCAGGCAGCCATTCATACATACCTGGGGTTTTGCTTTTTGGAGCCTGTTCTCTGGAATTTCTAAAAGAAGTAAAAGACCATTAGAACTCAAAAAAGATAAATGACCTAAAAAAACTAGGCATAAAAAACTCACTTGAAAGACTACTGTACTACTCCCTCATTGTACCAGCAATCAATAAAAAAATGAGAAAACCCCAGGTTTTAGCTATATCAAAGTTTGTTAGACCCCAATATTACTACATAAACATGGGAGTTTCCCTCTCACAATCATTTACACGGACTTCTGGACATAAAATATCCCATCTTGGTCACCTGTGTCTACTCTTGAGGACTATGCAAATAAAGAATTTCAAAAGTCTTCTTATAGAGGGAACGAGTCACATATTACAAAAATTATTTTTGTGGGAGATGAACAGCATAGCAGTGTGCTATTCTCAAGTGAGGAAAAAAACGGAGTCTTTGGAGGCAGGTTAGGGAGATATAAATAATATTTTAATTGGTTCCAAGGTTTCAAATACAGTTTGTGTCTTTTCCATACTCTTACTTCTTTGGAAAATGGTAACATCATGTGTTTTTCATGTTTCTATTCTATTAAAAATTATTCCTGACTTATGCATAAATAGAGTCTTCTGAGGAAGGTAGCTGTTGCTGAAAAAATTAGCTAACCACGATATTTATCCTAAAACGTGAAGATATGCCCTGACAGAATTACAAATGAAATGCAACTTATTGATAACAGAAGAGCTATGCAAAGTGGTGGTTGACAGCAGGGAGAGAGGCCAACATTACCACATATAAAGCAGTCTGGGGGTTAGAGCAAACACCTGTATCTACTGAAATAGTAATGTAAGAGAAAATGACTGATATTTACAATAATGGCCCTGGGTTATCAAGAACAAATCAAAACCACCATTCTTTTCAGAAAGTTCTAAGATATGAGACATTTTCAAAAGGTTTCCATCGAAAGGAAACTCCAAGTTTAAAAACTCTGATACTCGAAAGGATAAACTGAAACTAGCTAGACACATTATTTGGCTGCAGGACAGATATGGCACTACTGTATATGCATTTGCATATATTATCCGAGGATAAAGTCTGAAAGGGCAAAGTCTAAACACAGGATGTACTGTGTAAACTACATGTATGTAGGGGGAGAGATTCTCTTCTGTCATTGCTAGGATGTGCAGATATTTCATATCTTTAAAAAATAATTATTCTTTCACAATTATTTTAGGATAGAAAAAATACTCTTACCTTCTAGAGCCTTTAGATCCAGATAAAGAATGGAAAAATACAGACTCAAACTTCCTTAATTCCACACTTGGCTTGGTTATGTCATTTCTTATACTCTGATGAGTTTCATGTTTATCTTCCTCCAGTAACAACACTTTTTTTGGGGGGTTTGTTCCTTAACTGAAAAATGGCAATTACTTTCCTTCTTTCGCGTCCGCCTGACTTTCCCAATGAAGAAGTCATCACCACTGTCACTATCCTCAGACATGGAAGATTGTTTGTAAAACCTTTCTTCTGTGCTATCATCAAAATACTCTTTTTCTTCTTCTTGTAATTCTTCTCCATCACTGTTTCCACCAAGTAAGCTATTGGACTCCTTTCCTTTTTTTGTTTTACTTAAGGTTTTCACTTTTGGGTCAGCAGGTGTCTTCCGGGGATCAGAAGGAACTATACCAGCCCTTTCAGAAGGCTTTGATGGAGTATTTGGAATGTCTATCGCATTGGGTCCATGTTCCATCTTGGTTCTTTTTTCTTTTGAATTTACTGGTTTCTTTGCCAATATTTTGGCTTCTTTTTCTTTCTGTTCACTGATAATAGTTCCTTCATGCTGTAACTTACTGGCATCATCATTTGAACACAAAGTGTCCTTGGAATGATTTTCTTCTGAAGCATTCTCTGATGATTTAACTTCAACAACATTTTGTCTTGCATCTTTAAAGGCTTTGACAGCAGCTACAACAGAAATAGCACATGATTTATTTCATCATTAAAACAAATAATATAAAACATCACCGTTTCAGTACAGTATTTCTTTTTTTAATATATTTTTCAAAGATTTTATTCATTTATTCATGAGAGACACACACACACACACACACACACACACACAGAGAGAGAGAGAGAGAGAGAGAGAGAGAGAGAGAGAGAGGCAGAGACACAGGCAGAGGGAGAAGCAGGCTCCATGTAGGGAGTCTGACGTCCCCAGGATCCCGGGTCCCCAGGATCACACTGGGCTGAAGGCAGTGCTAAACCACTGAGCCACCGGGGCTGCCCCAGTACAGTATTTCTTACATTATTTGGAAACATTTAAGAGGACAACTGCAATTATGTTAAACATATTTAATGGGTCTGAAATCACAAAAAAACGTTAATGACCTTAAAAACCAAATTTGAAATGCTCAGAGGTATTCAGTTTAAAACTCTTAAAATTAATCATCTTTTCAGGCCTTGGAACTACAAAAAATAGTAAAAAACTTCACTAAGTACAAATAAATAAAATAAAATGCCAACTTTAATTTCTTTAGCAATAATGTGTTGATATGGTGGTGGTGCATTATAAATTGTGTTTTCAGACATAAAAATAAACATCTTCTAATCTGTGACAACACTGAATTCTTTCAAGACAATTTATAATACACACATAAAACGAAAATTATGTGACTAAGTGGCAACATCAAAAGTAATACTATGAATTACACCAATATTTAGCAAATCAATTGTATTTAATGTTACCATGAATATGTTATGTATTAATATAAATGTATTCATATGTTAGAATTTAGGAAAAAATACAGATTTAATTAGACATCAGATAACTTCCATATTTTCAGGCACCTTCCTACATTTAAAAATATTTGAAGAAGATGTTTATAAAAGGCCCTCAAAACAAAACAAAAAACCCATAGAAATAAATGAAGTAATTTATTCAAAATCATATATACGAGTGCATTTAAGTACATGGCTTAAAAGTCATCTGATTCATACCTTTTAGCACATCTATTTTTTTCTTCAGAAGAGGATGCATAGCTAGTCTGGCAACTGCTCTTTCAGTTGCAGTAGAATCAGGCTGCAAATTTAAACAACAAAAATGGGAATAAAAACAAGATAGTACTCTTAAGAAGTGCATAAAAGAAAATGTATCATAATTTTTTAAAATGAGAGGAAACTGGAATTTGTTAGTATTCTCATTAGAGAAGTCACTTGTATAATCTGATAAAAAATATAAAACTCATGATGACAAAATACAACTGCCCCCGCAACAAATAAAATTAATATGTAGTCAACTAACAAATATTCTTTGAGAACTTAATATATTTCCAGAACTCTGGTAGGCATTCTGTGTGATATTAAAAAAATGCAATATAGCTTCTACTTTCAAAGAGGGTAAGAGACCTAATTAAAAAGACTAAATTAATATGAAAGAATCAAATAACATATTAGTGATAAGCTCGGTGATATAATTTATAACTACTGTTTATATTTGATAGTCCAGTTAATAGAGATGTAAAAATTATATGATGCTAAATATTTGTAGTTTGAATGTCTAGCCTCTCTACTATATTCTCATAACCTTCTACCACTGCTTGGCTAAGAGCCAACACTTCATAAATATCTGACAATGACTGAAATGGAGCTGATTATATATTTAACATAATAAAGTTAGAAAATTCATGATTGGGGATAATTCTTTAAATATCGTCTGTGGGCTGACAACTTCCAAATTTCTAACTGCTATTCTAACTTGAGCTTGAGACTCCTCTATGAACCTCCTACCTGACATATGAAGAGAAAATTCTTTTTTCTTTTTTTTTAAAAATAGGCTCCACACCCATGCTGCTTGAACTCATGACCCAGAGATCAAGCCCTGAACTGAGATCAACAGTTGGATGCTTAACCTACTGAATCACCCACCAGGACCCCCAAGAATTGATAGCCTTCTCAAACCTACTTCTTTAATCTTTCCTTATTATATGTAATTACTTATTATATGTAATTACACTTTTGCTGGTTGGTTAGGGCTAAAACTTAAAGAATTCTTCTATCACATTTCTCCTTCCTTCATAGCTCACAGTTAATCCTTTAGCACATCCTGTGGTTTCTAAATGCAAAATATATTCAGGACCCATCACTTCTCATCATTTCTACTCTTCATACTTCTGACCAATTCACTAACACTTAACTGCTGTACCAATGTGATATGCTCAAACCTGATCACTTGCTCCCTGACTCCTGATTTTCCACAGAGAGTCACAGTGAGCTTTTAAAAAGGTAGCTAGATCACAATATGCCCCTATTTGTTCTTCTTTAAACTTTACTGCCTTCTGATTCAGCTTAGGCTATTCCATTGCAAGCTCTTCTTTACCTGGAATACTATACTCCTAAATATATACATGGCTGATTATCTCTTATTATTCACCTATCTGCTCTAACGTTATCTGAGCAACACTTCCCATAACTATCTACTTCATATTACTTAACATTGCATGCCAGGGTCGATATTTTCACATCTCTGAGGCAGCGGCTCTGTTTTTCTCATTGCTATAGACCTAGTGCTTAGAACAGTAACTGCTAACAGTTTGCATTCAATAAACATCCCATAGGGTAAATGAATACATTTCACTAGTGTGTCAAATTAGAGCTGTCAGCCTCAAAGTCTTTAATTTTCTCTTCATTGTTAATAGCCCACTATAAAGCTTTTTTTTCCCTCTTAGTAATACAAATATATGAGTACATTAGTAAACACAAGATGATGGCTGTCTGAAGTCTACTGTGTTTGGAGGACTTATCTAAGCAATATTACTCAGAAAATAATTTCTTTAAATTGTATCTGTCATCTACTTATCTTGTATATTGGGTTGAATATCCCCCTAAAATTTATGTCCGACTACAAACTCAGAATGTGAACTTATTTGGAAACAGTCTTTGCAGATATAATTAAAAGGTGATTATGCTGGATTAGGGTGGCCTTCAATCTACTATGACTGATGTCCTCATAAGGGGGACATTTGGATAGAGGCACAGAAAGACAAGGAAGAAGGCAGAGGCAGAGACTTCAGTTATCCTGTCACAGTACAAGGAAGGCCAGAGGCACAAGTTGGAAGAAGCAAGGAAGGGTTCTTCCCTAGAAACTTTTGAGGATCTTAGCCCTACTGCCACCTTAATTTCAGATTTCTAGCCTCCTGAAACATGACAGAATAAATTTCTTTTGTTTTAAGCACCTAGTGTGTGGTACTTTGCTAGGGCAGCCTTAGGGTAAAAAACTTTGATTCTCACAGACTCTTAGATATTGCCTCTGTTCAACCTTGTCTAAGAAATGGTAGTCCATTTGGAAACTATTCACTAAGTACAGTGTTAAAATAATCCTTTGCTTCAACACCTTGCTGGATTTCCTGAAGTCCAATATACATAGGACTTCTTACCCATTTTATCTGCCAGTGGAGATGTATGAGAGGATCTGGGAAGAAAACCTATTGCTGGTATCCTGAGTCACTTGGCAACAAGATGGGTTGCTAAACATAGAATATGCTTGATTTAGTTTTATAGGCTGTATATTAAAAGCTGTAAGACAGAACCCCTTGATGAGGGGCATGATTTTGAGAGTCATATCAGAATCCTGGAGTCTACAGGCTTCCAGAGGAAAAAAAAACACATTACACCCCCCTGTCCCCCTCCCCATACAAATCAGGAATCAAAATTGGAGGTCAAAGACCACAGAATAAAAATTTTGTAGGAAAATGATACCGAAATTAGAAAGAATAAAACTACTTCCCAGCACGCAAGGTTTAAAAGAGGTTACATCTCTTGAACTTTTCTCCCTAGAAGGTACTAAGCTCCACTAAAATGAAGAAGGATACAAAGAATGAGGTATGTATGGGATGTAACAGATGGGAGATGCAGGCCAAAGGCATTTTCAGGATGGTGGCAGGAGATACCTGGTGCATTAAACTTTATTTATTTGATTTTATTTATTTGAGAGAGAGCATGGGCAGGGGGAGGGGCAGAGGAGAGCGAGACACTCCCCATTGAGGGCAGAGCCAGATTAGGGTCTTGATCCCAGGACCCCAAAATTATGGCCTGAGTCAAAGTCAAATGCTTACCCTATTGAGCCTCCCAGGTGCTCCTAGTGTATTAAACATCTTGAGAGATTTTGGTATTATACTAGAGTTTGGTATTACACTAGAAAGAATATAGGAAACTAACATGAAAAGATAAACTGTAGGAAATAGAAATATTATGCAGAAAAAGGAAAAATGATAATTACTCACTACATGACTCACAGTCAAAATAAAAGAATCACTAAATGTACATCTACTCTAAATTTGACCCAAGTGCCTTAGAAGGATGGAAGTTAAGAAGGGTACATATATGACACAGGGGCTGAAGGAGGAAAGAGATCTAAATTCTTATAAATCACCATTAAAGTTAATAGCCAATACTTAAAACATACTAATACACATACTGATGTATAGGGTAAATTCCCTAAAAACCAACTAAAGTTGAATGTCTGGAAGGACTACTGGAAAACTGTCCTTTTCATAAAATAGTTTTGGAGAAGTACTTGATTCTCAAAACTGGTAGTTGGCAAACTGGGTTACGGGCCAGTTCTAAACTGCTGCCTCTCAAAAAAAAAAAAATAAATAAAGTTTTAAGAAAACAGAGCAAAATTCATTCATTTACATACCATCCATAGCTCTGCTATATCATATGGCAGAATTGAGTAGTTGTAACAGAGAATGTAAAGCCTGCAAAGCCTAAAATACTTTTTACAGAAAAAGTGACAACTGCTCTAATAATATGCAAGTAGAATCCCTGGTGGGGGCAAACTAAAAAGTCAGGAATAAAAAAATTTTTTTAGCAGGTTCATGATATTCAAAAGTCCAATTTAAAACAAAAACAGGGGCACCAGGGTGGCTTGGTCAGTTGAATGTCTGACTCTTGATTTTGGCTCAGGTCATGATCTTGGCATGAGACCAAGCACTGTGTCAGGCTCTGTGTTCCATGCAGAGTCTGCTTGAGATTTTCACTCTTGCTCTCTCTGACCCTAGCCCGCACCTCATTCTAAATGAAAGAAAGAATGAATGAATGAAATCTTTTAAAAAAATATATAAAAATAAAACAAAAACACTATTGTAACAGACTTTTGTTGCCAAATCAAAGCAACAAATTACAACTTTAAATGCATTGTTTCCCTGAATGGTGATGTAATTTAAGATCCTGGCTTAGTGGGGACAATCTGGTATTTAGTGAAAAAGCAGCATGTTTTAATAGGCAGGACTTATCTCAGTACAACTGAATGTAAAAAAAATGAGAACGAAACCCATCAGTTCTGAGAAATACACACAGGCCAGAAGCCTGTTCTCTCTCTCTACAAGAAAACAGAAGACCCTCCAGCAGGAGTTGTTACTCCATAACTGCTTCTTTCACTGTATTTCCACCTTGTAGCTGCAAATAACTCACTTCAAAGGTAGTCCTCAATATATGAACATCTGTATTTGCAAAACAGATAAACTAGGAAATAACTGTTCTAATTACACGAGTTAATTTCAACTGTTTTAGTTAAGAAGTTATAGGAATCCTATATAAATTTTGACTAAATGTGTTCATATAGAATTGTTCAAAAACATATCTGCTACTATTCCAAACTCCTGCTTTGACAACTTGCTAAAAGCTCTGATGAACTGGGTATTCTTTTATTCCAGAGCTAATTACATCCCACCATCTTAGCTATAACAAGTTTTAGAAGACCACTGATAATACTTGCATGTTTAGTGCTGACTCCAAGTAAAAACTATTTTGTTAAGGATCATCATATCACTGAGCTTACTCAGCAATGCCCTGGAAATATCCCAGAGTAACTGTGATTCTGTGATCTGATTTTAGTAAATTTTATTTTTAAAAAAAGCTCTATAATAGGATTTATAATCATAAATTATGTATTACTCTAATAAATGAAGATCTTATTATTCTTTTTTTTAAATTTTTTTACTTTTTATTTATTTATGATAGTGACAGAGATAGAGAGAGGCAAGGCAGAGACACAGGCAGAGGGAGAAGCAGGCTCCATGC